GGTTTATAAACTATGTTATTGTAAGACTTCCGCTGATTTACTCTAGTGTAGATATTTGAATAAATGTTGTAATACTGCAATGACTCTGTAATGTGATCCTGCTCAGAAATCGTGGATGATTCGGGGTTCTCCGAGGACACCCGACAGTCTTTCTAAGTTACCAGGAACATATGCATAGTTGTCAAAGGTCGTCGGACAGTGACAGGTGCATGTGGGCCCTATAATTTAGGAGGTTCTGCCACACTCACCCTCTTGCACATTTTCATTAGTGATACATCCTTGTGAGCCTAAGCAAACACCTTCCCCTTATCTTCATCATTGATTAATCATCATAGTGAGATTGGAAGTGATTCCTAGTGTATTTGCTTGAGTGATTGCATTTAGTGGCACTTGGGGATCGTTGTAGCTGCAGACTTCTTGTTACTCTTGGTGTTTGCGGCACCTAGACGGCTTGGAGCAGCGGAGGAGCATTGGCACGAGTTGGTGATTGTTCATGGCCATCTCTCGGTGATTGTGAGGGGTCTTGTACCTTCCCCGGCAGAGCGTCGAAAGGTAACTCTAGTAAATTACTCGTGTCATTGAGTTACCTCACTTATGGGTAGGTTCTTGTGGCGCCCATTTGTTGGGCTAGGTTTGTGAAACACCTATTAGCTGCCGAACCATGAAGCGTTGGTCGACACAATGGGGACTAGCGTGCCGGCAAGCACATGAACCTCGGGAGAAAAATCTTGTGTCTATTTTGATTGGCATTCCCCCGGTGCTTGATTGGTATTCACATTGATTGGTTCATCACTCTTGCCATGGCGGTATAATCACTCTACTCTCTTTTGTATTTACTTTCTTGCCTAGTGTCTAGCTCTTTAGTGTAGCTAGTTGTGAGAGCTTGTTAGTTTGGTTAGTGTGGCTCTTTAGTTAGTTTTTGAGAGCACACTAGCTTAGAGAGTAATGACATAGGCTCTTGTGTGCTTAGTGATCATAGAAACTAGAATTGTTGTGTAGGTGGCTTCAAACCCTTGTAAAGCTAGAGTAAAATTGTTTTACGCCATTTAGTGTGCTAACCAATTGCTCTAGTGCTTTTGTAGAGATTTTTATTCACCCCCTCTAGCCATTTAGGACCTTTCACCACCAGCTGGCTCCTCAGGCCTCAGTGAATCTCTGAATCCAGTATTCCAATGGACTCTGCGATTGGTGTCGCCTTGTGGGGATTTTGGGGATTTAGAATTTTTGGTGAATCAGTGAATGGTGAACGAGTGATGGATGGAAGAGCAGATGAAGCCGTCTGGGATGAGATTTTTAGAAATCTTGTTCGTGAGAAAATTAAGATGAAGTTTCAATCCATGAAAAATCGGAAGCCTACTATCCATGGAAAATTCTCCTTATGTGCTTTTCATGTGAGGTATTCATCTTTAATCCTGGTCTATACCATTTGTTTGTTGAATTACCGATTATAATATAATTGTTGTCTAAATTAATATAAATATGGCATACATATATGGCTAGACAAATATATATATATATGGTGATTCGCCCTACCTCATATTTTCGGCCTAGCATGTGTGCCTACACGTGCATTGATTCATTGTATTTCAGTTTAAGAGAGCATGGAGGCTTCCAGAGAATTTTTATGGATACAGTTTCAAGTTGTGTGCTTTTACGGTCTGTTTTTAACCGAGCTAAAAAAAAGAGATGCATCATGTACTGAAAAAAAAACGAGGAAACAAAATCAGGTGCGACATGCGAGCTCTCAATCAATTTTGTCTTAATCAGACTATTATTAGAGAAAGTATTATTTCAGTAAGCTGGGCCCACAGTGCCGTCGCGCTGTACAACCATTCCACCTCCAAAGGTGTAGAGGATGAGAGATCCGACGCCGTTATTGTCAAATGACAACCTAGCGCCGCCCACGCCACTCGCCCAGGCCTGCGCTCTACCGTAGGCCGAGCTAGGGATGCCTCGCCGGGGCACCGGCCATCCACGCCACACTAGGGGCCTAGGCCGCTTTGCCACGGCCGGCGTTGGGGGCGTTCCTCCACGCCATGATTGGGGTCGGGCCTCCACGCCGCAATGGGAGCCGTAGCCTCCTCATTGCCACATGGATGCTTGTTGCCGGAGAAGAGAGAGAGAGGAATGTAATGGGGGCAAGCCGAGCTAGGAGCTTCCGCTGCCATTGTCGTGCGCTGCTGCTTTCTATAAATCATTTTTGTAGCAGTGCTTATGGAGTCTGCGGCGTGCACATGCCATGCATTAACATCACCTGGAGATGAAGCAGGTGTGCATCAACTACAAGGACGACTTAACTGGTGGTGTTTGCTTTGATGAAATTTATCATCGTAGGTGTATATAAAAATCGGTGGCGTCGTGAAACGCACGGGCATTTATCTAGTGAAATCTGAAAAGCATGGGTTCCGATGCACTCCGGCTTGGAAACCAAATGACCACCTCCATGCGGGAATAAAATTGAGAAAATTCCTTATCGGAAAAAAAACTCCTCTCCCCTATTTAGCACTCATCAAACTTTAAATTTTTCCTATTACTGTTTCAAAAAAAAATCTTACCTATTTGTCCAAGCTTCAATTTTTTCTTCCCTATCTAACACTACCGTGTGTTTGGGCAGCTAACAATGTTAATTTAAATGTAAAAGGATGATTTTGCCCCTCCTTCCATTTCCAGTCATCATCAGGCTGTGTCGTTGCCTCTGCTGCTCCCACCGTCCTCTGCTTTGTCGTCCACATCGTTACCAGGCTTGCTATCAGCGCCGACGTCGCTCGGCATGCCCACCCCACCGATCTCCGCCGACTCTGCCTCTACTTCTGCCCCACGTCGTGGTCGCAAGCAGACGATGAAAGCTAAGCACCTAAGTCCAACCGCGGGGCGCGACTCGCACGTCTCCATTCCACGGCCCCAGCGCCCTTGGCTTGGTTCGGAGACACAAACATGCACAGGCCCAGCCCCCAAGTTTCTTCTCCTTCTTCTTGATCGAGCAACCAACCAAACAACAACACCGAGCTCACTCCAAGCTCAATCTATCTGACATGCCGCGTCGGCCGCTTTGTCTAGGTCGAGCACCTCATCGTCCACCCTAGCCGCGCTGGGCGCTCTCGCGGTAGCCGCCCCTGGCTGTGCTGCGTCGGCCACGCGCGCGACTCCCGCAACGGCCGTGCTGGCCTCACACGGGGAGCCCCCCACCCACCAACCCACCTGTTGATGGTCACTAAACACCTATTTTAACCATCAACAATGCCAACATTCCAAAGGAAAATCAACATGAAATGCAAAGATTTGGTTTATTACTAACGGAATTCCACTTGTACATGAAGTTTATTTGAATGCAGGAAAAACAGTGAAAATGGTGCAAAAATAGGTAGCATGGAGGCAGCAGGACGTGGCAGGGGCCTCTGGGCCCACACTGCCACGCTGGCCGGTGGCCATGTGGCGCTGCCCGGCGCCACCCTGTCCCCATCCACGTCACCGATCCGTGGGATGGCTCCTACACTGTCTCACAAGCGTTCATTTCATGTCGGTTCAAGCGATGGACGAGATTTGTTCACCATGGATTCATGGGCCCATTGTCATTCACTTGGAGGCCATCAACCGACTTTGGAACTGCCATTTGGACCAAATCTTCGCACGTGCTGGCAAGGGAACCGACTTTGGGGGCCAACCAAGACCCAACGATGCAATGGCGGTGCATCGTAGGGCCGGCCGACGCCCTCACCACGCCGCCCGGCGCCCAAGGCACCTCCACCGCCTCTCCACTACCTACAAATACCCCCTAGCTCCTTAGTGATATAAATACAGGTGTTCTCCACAGTTGTAAAGCGTCCCAAGTAGTGTCATTCTCTCTACTCCTAAGTTTAGGTTAGTAGTGAGAGTGAGAGCGAACAAGTGAAGAGCTAGGAGCTTGGAGAAGTCTACTGGAGTCTCTCTGTAAGCTCTTGTAAGCTACTTTTGCTTTCTATATAATTGCTTTAGTACTTGTCTTATTTTCATCATTTACTTTCTTGCATTAGAGTAAAGTAGTGTTGTGAATATTTCGATCATTTCTTGTTTAGTTAGTAAGCTTCCGATATACGGGATCCTCGTCACTAGTTGGTGTTCTGATCTTAGCGCAAGGTTAGAGTAGTATCACTTAGTATAAGCGTGGTGCTTAGACTATAGGGTACCTTGGGTTGTGGCTAATTCTCCGGATAGATTGTGGTAAGTGGCATGTGATGACAGCCCTGTCCATCCCCTGTATTTCATTACGTTGGAATTAGTTATTAAATAATAGGGCTCGTGGTGCTTTGTGCCTAATCAACCTTAAGGTGAGTTTAGGGTAGGTACGCCCTGAAGTATATTTATTGCTTATCTTGCTAGACAATTGATAGGTTGAATTGATTAAGATAGTAGTTAATTTATCTTCACCTACTCCGTGACCATAGTTGTGTCTTTTGTTTTCTAGTTTTTAGTTAGTTTTATTTACTTGCATTTGTTTCATTACATTCGTGCCTAGGTAATTCACTAGAAATTAATTAATCATTTGTTTGAGTCATACTACGTCTTCTCTATGAAAATAAATACAATACTTGGTATACTTCCAAGTGAAGTGCTACATCGATATATTCTGTTCGCTAGCGAGAATTAGTTCAATAGTCATAAGAAATATCACCACCACTCGGCCGCGCACGACTCCCACCCCACTAGCGCCAGCCTCCGAGACGCCACCACCCAGGTCTCGTGGTTGGGAGGAAGAGCCTGAGTTCCTACGGGAAAGCCCTCTGCCTGTGTAATGAGCCAGGGGCATGTTAGTATTTTTACCACATGTCAAATTACGGTACAGTATGTCCAAAGTGGCGGTAGTGTCAGTTTGGGAACAAAAATTTCAAACAGTGCCAAATAAGTAAGATTTGAAGTTTAGATGCTAAATAGGGTTTAGGAAGTTTTTCAGTGTCAGTAAAGGAATTTTCAATAAAATTCAATGGACCTGGGTCCAAACCCGCTTCCGTACGCCCCCAGCATGGATGGCTGCCGCGTGTCGTTTTAAGAAATGGAACGTCACCGAAATCTCCGTAGCACCAGGTGGTCACACGTTCGTGGAGATTTGCTCCAACCACCTTAAGCTAAGGGATTTCCTCCCCATGACACGTGTAAGTCATCAAGACTAAGGGCACATGCGACACGATTTGGACACAAGGTCTATTGAATTTTATTCCTCCATGCGACCATCTCCCTGGATGAGGCGACACAGTATCCGGTGAGGATACCAAACACACCTAGCAGGCCAGTGTGCACGTCGTTAGTCAAGTAATAAGCACCCCAAGGCCCTAGCCGTCCATCATGGATCCCACGGTCCTCGCCAGCCTGATGGAAGATTAAAAGGCAAGTGAGACATCCTGAAAGAATATGAATAAGTGAATATATGAAATCGGTTTTCAAGGGTTTTTTTTCTTCTTTTTACAATGCTAGCAAATATGTTTGTGCGTTGCAACACAAAGCCACATTATGGATCCCACGGTCCTCGCTGGCCTGACGTTAATGTGTCTTATTTTTCTTTAAAGACTTTCGAAAAACTTTTTGAATTGTAAAGTGTTAAATGCATGAAGGGTCTTTGAACTTATCAACTGATGTCACTTAGCTTCACAAACTTTGGAAATGTATTTTTGGCTTATTAAACTTGTTAAATGGTACACCACATGTCTCTAAGCTTATTAAATTGTGCATCACACGTTTCTAAACTTATTGAATTGTGCACCACGGATCCATTTTTAAGACCATACCAACTACGGTTGCAAACGGCGCGGTTACGGGTGGTCCGTCCCGCGTCCGCATGCGCGGGTGGTCTGTCCCGCGTCCGCATGCGCCGCCTGCTCCAGAGCTGAACCAGTGATATTTTCAGAAGCAAAAAACTGAACTAGCGGGGATCGAGCCATAGCTCGAGTGGCAAACGCTGCAGGTGGTGCAGCGGCCGGTCGTGGGTTCGAGCTCTGCTCAACTCACGATCCCCACCGGGGGTTTTCCCATATTGGCCCCGTTCACTAGTCTGAACTTTGGCTGAAAAACACTGTTTCGACTGAATTGTTGTGAGAGAAAAACACTGTTCCGGCTGAAAAAACAAGCCGAACAAGCCAAACTTTAAGACAAGCGAACGGGGCCATTTAACAAGTGCAGCCTCTCTCGCGTGGAGCTACAAAGGGATTGCGGCGCGCCCGTCGCCTACGGAGCCTTGGATGGTTTCGGTAATCTCCTCAAGGACACGATCTTGAAATCTAGGTGTAGTTGTAGGGTCTGTTTGTGTTCATGATGTGTGTGTGAGTGTGTGTGGTGTTGGTGTGTGTCTGTTCATGAACAGATACTACAGTTGTACCTAGATAAGAGGCGGGAAAAAAACCGAACTAGCTAGCCAGTGGAAGCACGACCAGTGTGTACACGGCGACGGAGCGCTCTCATGTCGCGGTGGCGTTCAGCGCACGGCAATGTAGTGTTTATTTGTGGCGGTGGCAACCTCACCATCCTCAAAAGTTACAGCACGCGACGTCTGGAACTACCCGCCTCGGCGGCTTCGCCACGATAACCGCAGGCTGCTCCGTGGTCGACCCCTGGGCCGCCGTCATCTGCGGGTTCGTGTCGGCGTCGGTGCTCATCGGGCTCAACGCGTTGGCCGCGAGGCTCCGGTTTGATGACCCGCTAGAGCCTGGAGGCCGCGCAGCTACACGGCGGTGCGGTGTGTGGGGAGTCCTCTTCACGGGGCTGTTCGCCAGCGGGGATGAAGGCTGGCTGCAGCGACGCTCCGTGCAGACCCCAATCATATGTTGACACATCATCCCACAACAGCATGGCTCGATTGGCGCATCGGCTTGCTCCCTGGCTCCACATTCGGCTTGGCTCATCCGATAGACAAGAAAGCCCATTAGTGCTGCAAATAAGAATGGCAACGGATCGGGTTCGGGGCGGATATCCGTGGGTTTCGCGTCCGCGGTTTTCGATTTCGGTTCCTGGTTTTCGCCCATGGATTTACGGGTTCGGATACCCGAAATACCACGGTTTTGGGGCGAATCCTGAATTTCATCCGTGGAGCTCCATTCGGGGCCCCAAAAAATTGAGCCCACTAGAAGCCCAACTAAGAACCCTATTATATAAGCCTGAACCAACCCTCAATCCCTCATCCGCACCTGTGCCAGAGCCCCTCACGGTGAGGAGATCACGCCGCATGGCGAGAATAGAGGCGGCGAGCAAGAGACGCTCAAGACCCACTGACGCCCTGACAGCGATCTTGCTTGGCCTCGCCGATCGCATGACGGCGCGACCTCGCCGACCTTCCCGCGCCCGTCGCATGACCTCGCTCGGGCTTCCCCGCACCCGTGCTCATGTGACCTCTCTCTCTCTCGGCGGCCTGCGGCCTCCTCAGGCTGTTCTGCATCCATGGCAAAAGGCACACAACACGGGCGCACGCACGGTAGAGGTCCGGTCGAAGGTCTCGACGGGCGGCGCTACGCCTCGATGCCGGCTCGAGAGCGGCGGGGGCGGAGGAGGCGCGCTCTGGCGGAGGAGAGAGAGGGCGGCGGCGCTGGCGAATCCCTTCCCTAGATCTCGAATTTTCTGGGTTTCGAATTATCCGTCGGGTTTCGGGGATCCGCGGGTTTCGGTTTCGGGGATGGATTTTCACCCGAATTGGTGTTTTTGGGTGGTTTCGGGTTTTAGGTTCGGGTTTCGGTTTTGGGTGCCCAGACACTCCACCCGATCCGAACCCGTCCCGTTGCCATTCTTAGCCGCAAATGACACAGGAAAAGGCTGCGACCAACATCGTGACCAGTGGCGGATCCAAAGGGGGGGCTCCAGCCCCCCCTAATGTCTTGATTTCAAGCCTAATCACTGTAGCAAAAGCTTGATTTCACCATTAAATCTTCATGCAAATCAACATCTCTATTATTTTAGCCCCCCTTATCCCGCATCGTGCATCCGCCACTGATCGTGACTACGTGAGCGCCGCCAACGACGGCCGAGCGGTTGGAGTTGTGATGCGGGCGCTTTTCATCGTCGTATTTATGCGTAGGCATGCAATCACGGCGGCACACGTACTATGACGCCTCACGGCAAGCAAACCGGCCACCGTGGTGTGCTCTCTATAAAAAATTTTGGGTTTAAAGATAATGTTGAGGACAAGAGTACATGGAGGACGATCTAGCCTTGAGTGTTGCCGCTGATGACGCTGTGGCGCGAGAGGATATTGCAGACGCCGATGAATCTCCGAACACCATTAATGCAACACAGGTAGTAGATGTACTATTATTTATGCAATATTTTCATCATTGGTTACCACAAAAATGTCTCAACGTATCTTTTGGCTAGGAGAACATCCATACAGGCACTACACCTGTGGTGCTGTCCAACATCATGGAGTCAACGTCAACATTGCCCGCGACTACATCAGCTGTGCCCTTGCCGGAAGGCACGGCACCACAAGGAGTTGAGGTATGAAATGGCAATCTTTTTCTATGGTAGAATTTATCAAAAATGGATTCAGCATGGCTATGTGTTGACACAAAAATGTGGCGATGTGATCAACACACAGCAAGCCAGAAGATCTAAGCAGAACGAGACCAGAGATCTGCTTAGCTTCAACACAAAACCAGCCGATTCTGTAAACCCAACGACGTGCCAGTCAATTTGACCTGCAATTGACAAGGAGAGAAAAATTTATCAGTAATTTAAGGTGGAACATGTCGGTGTTGCTCCAGACAGTTCCAAATGTACGACTAGATAGCCGATTCAATAAGGCTATCGACTAAATAGTAAATATCCAGCGTATCCATGAAATGAAGATCTTTAAATCAAGGATTATCGGCTAATATTAAATGATAATGATATGAATCAAAATAATCGATGCTCATGTATCATAGCAAATTTATGGTGACTGATTAATCTAGACAAAAACAAGTATAATACATCCAAATACAAAAATCAGAAGATCTTTCCTTAAAATTCCAATATATATGACCAAATGATCAATTGATGTTATCAATCAATTACAGAGTTGATAATCAGCAAAAAAGTGATATGAGAAAACACTTTTTTGCAGCGATATGAGAAAACATCATCGGGAGATGGTGTGTGTGCTATTGTATGGCTATATAAGCCTTTTATCCCCTTTCTTAATGCAATGATACGCAGCTCTCCTGCGTATTCCAGAAAAAAAAATCAGCGGCTAAATAGAACATAATCAATATAAAGTGTGAGCCGGTAAATTTGATAAAAAGAGTATGACATGCAAACTATCGACTGTCTAATGTAAATGAATCCATAAACAATCTGGATCTAATCTATTATCATCAACAGTGAGGCTCGACCGAATCGATGCAGCTATGATAATGATAACAAACTAAAGCCGAAGAATTTATAAAACCATCTATATGTCGACAGATTCATAAAAACATGTTATATGCGTGAAGGTATAGGCAATCGGCTAAATAGCCGATGCAGGCATAGCAAACAAACAGAATACATATCTCGATCATGAATAAAACCACTAATCAATAATTTCTAATCCAAAGTCTTACCAGTGAGGTTCGATTGGATCGATGCAGCTATAGTAGTGTCAATAAATTAGATCTCATTAACTAGTGAGTTCATTCAAGATTGAAACGTGTCTTTGAATGCATACTATGTTCGATTGAAATAGAGATAAAACAACCAATCTAGCGGGATTAAGCCATCAATCATAAGATTTAAAGCGTGATCAGATTGGGAGACGACCAATTAAGATAATAATATGCCGATCTATCTCTATCTTAATCAGATGATTTGTTATAATTAATAAGATATTAATTATAACAAGATCGATAACCGGTGAATCAACCAAAAACAACAAGGAAAATCTTACTAATCTTAGCATATTCGATAATTGGTGATATTGTATTAAACAACAAGTTATTTAACACAAGATCGGTAACTTTTATCTATATTATGATTCGTAAGAGATTAATCAGCTGATGTAGCCTTACAAACAATAGTATGGATCGATAACTAACTTATATTATAGTTCGTAAAAGATCAATCAGTTGATGCAGCTTTACAAACACAATACAAGTTGTGACGGTACTCACAAGCAAACTGGAGGTCGATCAGTCGATGCAGCCCTGTTTGCTGAAGAACTCGCCGAGATCTACAATACTCCTACTCCTAATGCGATGGCGAAAGTCGAAAAGATTGTATTGATTGAGTGTTCGTGTCTTTGTACAATAACTACGGTCTAATATTTATATCCGAAACCTAAATATGAATCATACTCAAATATGACTCATTACAATTTTTGGAATAAAAGAAAACTTCATAACTTAACAGTAACTTGGACCCTAATTTTTTTTATTGGTAGAGTCCGACACATCTTCCCGACGACATTCAAGCATAGCCCATTGACGCCGTCTGCTGACGTCATCTATAGCCGATTCTGATATCGCATCCAAATCAGCTGATACCGATTCACATCTAATTGATTCCTTGATGACACAATCTTGAAAGCTTCGAGTTCCCGCGTTTCTCTTTCCAAATTTTGGTGTAAACACTATGTAACTATATCCATCCTATGGTACTACAGGCGGTTGATAAAATTGGGAAAACTTTGATCACTCCTAAGTCCTGAGGTTGGAATGACTTTCCAATCAGAGGACAAAACTTATGAGATGTACAACACATATGCCGGCAAGGTTGGATTTATCATTAGAAAAAGTTATATAAAGCGTAGAGAATATAAGACGATATGTCAGAAATATATAGTTTGAGTAGCCAAGGACATCGAGAAAATGAGTCATCACAGAAGGACAATACAAGAATAGGTTGCAATGCTCGTGTTCGGTTTACTGTCAGCAGAGAGGGGATATGGACAGTACAAAAGGTTGTACTTGATCACAATCATTATCTTGCTAGTCCAAATAAGTCACACAAGCTGAGGTCCCAGCGATGTATTATAGAGGCAGACAGAAAACTAATTGGCCAAATACGGGAAGCAGGGATGAAGCCAGCCCAAGTATATGAGTTCATGAAGGAGTTTTATGGAGGAGAAGACAAGGTGCCATTTTCTCAGATGGATAGCAATAATGAGATTAGTCGTGAGCGTAGAAAGTACTTAGAAGCTAATGATGCAGAAACATTGTTGGAATACTTGAAGAACAAGCAATTAGAGGATCCTTTATTTTTTTATGCTATTCCGATAAATAAGGAAGATGGTCGGATAGTAAATTTCTTTTGGACAGATGGTCAATCTATCATGGATTACAAGTGCTTTGGTGATGCTGTGTCATTTGACACAACTTTTCAGACTAATAAATTTGAGATGTCTTTTGCTCCGATCCTTGGAGCCAATCATCACAAGTGGACTGTAATTTTTGGGGCTGCACTTTTATATAGTGAAACTATTGAATCATTTGTTTGGCTCTTTGAAACCTTTATGGCGGCAATGTCTGGTAAGCATCCTAGCACAATATTCAATGATCAAGATGCAGCCATGGCAGGAGCAATTGCATTCGTATTCCCAAATACAAGCCATCGACTTTGTTTGTGGCATATTTGTCTAAATGCTGCTAAACATTTCGGGCATGTAATTCATGATTCAGATGCCAAGTTTCTAACTGATTTTAAGAGATGTGTGTATGAGGACAGGTCGGAGGCTTACTTCATTGAAAAGTGGAATGAATTGTTGAGGGAATACAAACTTGAGGATAACTCATGGATGCAAAACCTGTATAGTATACGGGCAAAGTGGGCTGCTGTATATCGTGACTCTTTTACGGCGGATATGAACTCAACTCAAAGAAGCGAAG